GACACACACACTGTGTTTTAACCACAGTGGGAAATTATTAATATGCTTTCCTTGTATACTGTAAATAGGACCTAGGAATTCACAACACTGCCTTGGATGAGTAACTGTGACATTGGGACTTTAAAGAAATGTGATGTGAAAACAGAGTGCAGCTCAGATGAAAACGTCTCTTCTTGTTTCTCAGTAAACTCTCTTGGATATTTGGTTCTTGGGTATAAACTGCTTTAAGTACGCTTTCCTGCAAGGGTGTGCTTGAAGTAGAGTACTTGATGTGGAAAGCTGTTACAGATAAAGCTAAGGAGTAGTAAAATGCATACAGTTAAGTCAAATCTGTATTTTAAACCTTGTTTCATTTCACTTTGACAGAAGAAAGTATTTTGATTTTCTGTTTTGTAGTCTTAATTTCTAGGTTAACACTTGAACTTGAATGATATGGCAAGATTAACCTTTTTTTAACAACCGCATAAATGTGTCCAAATCCAGTGTATTTACATAGGCAAATAAAAGCCAAAATAGGGGCTTGTTAGTCCTTTATGGTGGAGTTTGGGTGTGGCAAATTCTGGGCCAGGACCCTGGTAGCAACTTTGGCCATAAATGCTGTGATTTGAATTGGTTGGGTGGTTGTTTTGTGAGGGGTGGGGTGGGTTTGGGATTTTTGTTGTTCATGTTTTGAGGGGTTTTTTTATCAGTTAATACTGTGTGCAAAAACCTATATACAGTTATATAGAGGTCTACATGAAAATAATGTACAAATGCAATGTTACTGTTGTGGAACTTGATCTCTTTTGGGAGATCCAGGCAGCCCTTTTTTCTATTCATTGTATATTTCTTCTCCTTAGGCTATGGCCTAAGGGAACTAGCAAATCCTTCCTCAAGCTGCTATGCTGTAAATGTCATAAAACAGCAATTCTGGGTTTATATCAGCAGGATTTTGTGAACCTGTGCCTGACTTTGGGGGAGGCACTCTTGAAGTTCCAAGTGAACTGCTTTAGAGACCTATTTTAGAATGGTTTAGGGGTGGGGAGCAGGAAGATGCTGTTTTTCAAGTGTGGATGATATAAAGCTGTACACTAATTCACTTTTGGGTTCATGTTTTTTTTATCTTATTACTCTTTTCCACAACACTAAAACATTGACTGGAGTAGTCAATGCAATCAAGTGTAATGCAAGAGTGGAAGACAAGGTTGAATAGGGTTTGTTCTGCCTCCAGGGGGACAGGACTGCTGTTCATGGGCTGCTTTGCATTTTTAAACTTTAACAAGTCGTAAGAATCCAGTTCCTCAGTTTGGTTTGTCCAAAATAATATTTACCTAAACTAACATAAAGCTTTCCATCCCAGATGAAAAACACCATTAAACTAACAGTGTTAATTTATTTCCAGTTAATTTCCTACACTGCATGTAAGCAGAATATAGCTCATCAAAAAATGTTGTCAGAAATTTCTGCTATATTATCTGATTCTGTCGAAAAATATATCATATTTTCATGTAAAACCACAACTGTGGAGCGTATTTTATATTATGGATAAAGCTAATATAGCACAGAGTATTTTTTTAAACCACTAGCTGGAATAAGAGGGGGAAAAAAACCCCGAAGATTTCAACTGCCAAGTATTGCATGAAGATGCTAGCACCACCCGACTTCCTATTCCCCTATTGTTTCTGCAGAATAAATACTGAAAAGCAGATGTCTGGAACATAATGAATTTGAATGTCTCCCATAACAAATTGTTACTTGTAAGCTGGAAAGGGCTTTATGAATTTTACTTTATGATTCACTCTGTTATTACCATAAAAATTGGGAGTTGCAAAGAAATGTGTTCAAGAGAAGAACCGTTAATATTCTTTACAGCTTGATCTTGTTGGTTCACATACAAACTGTATGAATTCAGACTTTTCCCCTTATGCAAAATCTTCAGCTGCTGCCTTTACCGGATTTAGAGATTATTAAAAAAATCATAGTAGCAGCTCAGGGAACAGTCAAGAGCTGCCTGTCCTACGTTGACTGACCCTGACCAGCTTTTCTCCACGTGGCTTAAATCTTCATGTAATATAATTCGGAACCAGTTCCGATACATTTTAATGCACCTAATCTCTCTGAGCGCGGGTTTTGTACAGCCAGCACACGGAGCTCTGGGTAGGCAGCTATTGGGACTGCTGGCAGTCGGCGGTGACTGCAAAATTAAAATAGATCTTTGGGTGTTACAGAAAGTCTTTCACGCTGCAGCGTTTCCCCTGCAAATTTAAAGCAGCTACAAGTGGAGAGCGGCGCTTTGAGCGGCTCATTCTTATTCTGACTGCAGCTTGCACTGCAGCATTTCTGTACACTTCATGGCTTTTTATTAGAAATGGCATATTAAAGAGATCTTCTTAAATTTTTTTTGGAGGCTTAGGGGACCTCTGTATAGAAAGTGTAATGTTTTGCCAGTATAGTTCCTGGCTCACTGGGTGAGCCACAGAAAATCTCTCCCCAGCCCCTTTACTGCCCTGGCTCCTAACTGAAGAACAGACATAGAGGTGATCATTTTTATAAATATGCCTTTCTCTTACGAGAGCTCTAGAATTAATTTAATTCTGTTGAATCCACTGATGTCTTGCAGCAGAATGTGATATCTGCTGTTCCGAACAAATTCTGTTGCCAGCATTGCCTGGACTTTATTGTACTTTTGATTTTTCTCTCTTTTTGTTCTTTGGGAGGGGTTCCTAAATTCTGTAACTACGTGAAAAACCAGAGAAGCAGGATTTAATGCAGAAGCCTTTAGAAACACTGCAGTGTGTGGAAAATAAAAAAAAAAAAGTTATTCCATTTCATCCAAGACCTGTAGTGAATATTAAATCACAAGGGACTTTATCAGGATAGCTGTACATATATTGTGGTTTGATGGTTTCACCCCAGACATCCAAAAAGGATGTGTATGACTGTATTAAAAATCCTTATATATAGCTCGTAAATGCGGTTATAGGAGTCTGTAGACAGTTTCCCAAACTAGCATTTCAAGAAGAAATCCCCACCCCAAAAAAATCTCTTTGTTTCTAATTAACCAAAGTATTACAGAAGCATTTAATGCCTTGCATTAACGGTCAATTTTAATGCAATGCATTATTCAGGAGGTACTCGCTTACTGGGTTGTTTGTGTTTTTTTCCCCACATCTTTCTTGTGGCCAGGGGTTCTGTCTAGGAGACTGCATTTTTCTCACTCTCCAAGTATTGATCAGTTAATATGTTTGTCAAAATTATAAACAGCGTTAGCTTTAATAACAAACAAACAAAACCCACAAACACAACAACAAAAAACAAAAAAATTGGTTTTCCCTATATTGCTCTCTCCTTGGTAGCAGTTGTGATATTTTTCATTCAAATTAGTGGCTAACGTTTTCAGTTGAATAAGGTTTTAGCTATATCATGCTACACTCAGATTTCTTGAGAAACTGGAAAAGTAACTGAGAACAACTATAAAAAACTCCAGTACTCAATCCCCTCTTCATCTTGGTCCATGTACATGATACATTAATGCTTATTATGTACTTATATGCTTCAAATAGATTTGGAACCACAAAGGAAGACACACTGCCTTGTGAAGTTTGAAATAAAAAAGACTGGCCCACTGAGGGCTGTGTTTGCAAATCCAGAGAAGAGGGAAAACAGAGGATTTAAATATATTCAGCTCGTAAATATGCTGTTTCTGTTGGGTAGAATGGAACGAAATGTCTCAGGGAATTTGAATTATCACATAGTGGTGGTTTAGAGAGATGGAGCAGGCTGCTGTCCTGCTTCATCACTTGGGCTGTTCCCTTTGCAGACCTGTCCTCCCCTTAACTATTTCCACCTGATCCATCACCTTTCTTTCAGTGCTGAAACCAGCTCCCAAGTTCTCAGATAACCACTTTTATGCTAGCTTCTCACCACCCTGCACACTGGAGATACATTCCTCATAAACATTGACTCTGTCACTTCACTGTTTTCCTTAAAATCCCTTTTGATGCTCTTTGCCTTTTTTCTGCACTATTTGCAGTGGCTAGCCTGCCAGTATGATGTGATCTCTACTCATGCAGATAGATCACTGTTGTCCCCCTTGCCTTGCTTTTCTTGTCCCTTTGATGTTTGTTTTTCCATATTATATGTGCTGCTAGGTAGGGCCAATACATCATTTTTTGGTGTGTGCATGGTGCCTATTGCAATGGGATTCAGCTCTGTGACTGAGCTGCCTCGAAGTTATCATCAAAGAGATACCTGAAATAATGACACTGGTTAGGATGTGATTGGAAGGCAGCAGAGTAATGGGGCTGCCCGCAAGTGTTCATAGGCTCTTCTGCTATTGGCAAAGAGGCAAAAGTGGGAAGGAATAGAATATAAGGCTTAATCGTTTGTATTCTGTGGGATAAAACTGTGTTGTGTTTGTAGGCAGTGACAAGAAATTTAGAGATGATGTGGTGGGAAGAGTGATTTTGGGTCATTTAAGGAGGCAGAGTTCATGTGTTCAACAACAGGCTTGAGAAGGGATTTGAATGATTTCCTTATGTCTGTGTTTTGAAGAAAGGTCAGTATGATAATGATGTTAAGGAGAAAGGAATTTTGATCAAAAGACATGCAATTTTTAGGGCTTGGATAACACAAACTGTTTTTAAAATAGGTGAGAAGCAGTGCTGTGCGAGTTCAGATCAGAGAGACAGGAAATACGAGATCAGGCATGAAAGGTGATCCTCTAAGTGAATGATTTTCTCTGTGACAGAGTGTATGGTAGTGCTGTCTATTGTAATAGGGAATTAGAGATTTGAAACGTTTGTAATAGTTTCAGTTCCTGGCTTGAAGGCAGGATCCTGGAGATTATTTTTATTTTATTTTATTTTAGTTACAAATGGCTGGATTGGGTGAAAAGCTGGACTGTATTCAGGGAATAGATACAGAGTAGGCAGGAAGCGAATGGCTTGAACTGTTAATTAGCTGGTAGTAGGCAGATCCCTTGTGCTCATCCCATCTCGTTCTCCCCCCTTGTGTTGCAGGCCAACAACAAACCAGAGATCGAAGCAGCCCTGTTCCTGGACTGGATGAGGCTGGAACCACAGTCCATGGTATGGCTGGCCGGCCTTGACCGGGGGGGGGGCGGC